TCCACAGGAACTTAAGGAAAAATTTCTTCCCAGTGAGGGTGCCAGAGCCCTGGAACAGGCTGCCCAGAGAGGCTGTGGAGTCTCCTTCTCTGGAGATCTTCAAACCCGCTTGGACGCAGTCCTGTGCCACGTGCTCTAGGTGACCCTGCATGTGCAGGGGTTGGACTAGATGATCTCTAGAGGTCCCTTCCAACCATAAGCATTCTACGATCCTATGATTCTTCTGGATTGTAACTCTGCTCTCTTTTAGGGCGAGGGTGAGTTTGCTTGCAGCACCAGTATCGTTTCAGATTTTATGGGAGGCAGATGACCAAAGGGCACCATATCTGTTTCGTTTTATAATGTGGTCACTAAGCTCAGTTCAGGAGAAATCAAGAGTGATGGAAGAGCCATCTCTGACCTTATCTCACGCCGCATGCCCAGGGTTCAGAGGTTGGCATCTAAGAATTTCTCTCCAAGTTTGTGTTCCTTCCTAGCGACTTATGTCACTGTCTTACGTGTTTTGGTTATAAAATGACCTTACAATTTCTCTTCCTGAACAGAAAAGCTGAATTCTGTTACGCTTTGCAATAGACATTGATACATCTAGGCTAATTTGTGGCTTGTTAGATAGGTGTGTTTTTCTGCACACCAGATCTACTATATGCACAGCAGGACTCTTATTTGGGGGGTGGGGTGGCAGGGAGGCATTAAGTCCTGCAGTGGCCCAAAAGCATGTGGAAAGACTAGCATTTAGAAGCACAAAGCACTCAAAATCAATAGGAGGCTTCAGTAAATACATGCAGGAAGGTGTGTTGGCTGCTGGGCCCTGTAGCTGTGCTCTTGGTGTGATGTTAGGCATGTCAGGGTTCAGGAGCCGCAGAGCAGCACATAGGCAGATGGACTTGGTCAGCTTGGTGACCAGGGAATCACCGTTAAGAGGAAGTGAACATCCCTACACATCCCTTTCTCTTGCCAGAAGTTTTCTGTGTGTGATGAAGCCACCTGGTTTACTTTGTTGTCACCAGACTGCAATGCTAACTGTTTTCTTTTTCCTTCCCTTTTGCTTGTTTTCCTAGGAGAGCTGTGCCCGGGTTCTCCTCTTCCGTGGGGCGAGCAAAGAGATTCGCAACTACAACAGCCAGACTGCGTTCCAGGTGAGGCTGCGAGCTCCTCGGCCTTCCCCTTCACACAGCCCCTCTCACAGAGCTCTCGGTTGTGCAGCGAGTGCCCCCGAACGAGGGCAGCTCTGCAATGAGTCCTGGGCAGATATGTGATAAAACTCACTGGAACAAAACCATTGATTCAGGATGTGTGTTCTGACGTTGCCTTAGTTGCAACTAAGGAGCAGTAGACAGGAAAGAGACGTGCATTCTGTCACGTGGAGGGACCGTGGCAGTGAAACTCTGCAATAGCTTTCCAGTATAGGCTCTGGAGAAAATAGAAAATAGAGAAGGAGAAGCTCAGTCATTTTACAATGTGACTCCTTCCATAAATTCATCAAGTTTTGGGAAGTGACTCTCTACAGATGCTATAGGCTGCAATCTGTGATGCAGGAGATTGCCTTGCCCTTCTTTGTACAAGTTTTGAACTTGAAAAATCCAGTGCCTGTGCTCTTATTGAAACACAGGTACTTGCCTGAGGACCTTTCAGAAATATTTTGGCTCAATGTCCAGCTAATACTAATGTTCAGGTCTCTTGTGAGAGCAGAGTGCCTGCCAGTGTCTTACTCAAATACCAGCTTAGCCTGCAGCTAAGCTTCCAAACCATTTGCCTTCTAGAAAGTCTTTTTCTCACTTCTTTTTCCAGGTTGTTTATAGATGTTGTAGCCCATAGAGCCTCAAGTGTGACCACAGTGGTGTCATACAATCCCCACAGACACCATGACTGATCCCCATGCGAAGCTTTATTTGCACATGCAATCACTCTTGTTGAACATGTGCATCTGCACTTGTCATTAGAACAGCAGTTTGTCCTGGGTGGAAATGGTAAGGAATTGCTGAGCAGATATTCTGCACATGCTGGAAATCTGCTGCATCCCAGTTGTGCTGGACCTACTTTGTCTCACACAGAGGGAATTTACATGGATAGCGAGACTTGTGTGTCCTCAGGTATTAACATTTCCTGCAAATGCACCAAATACCTGTGCAGCATGTTTACTGTGAGTATCCTGGGAAGCTGGAAACTCATCTCTGACCTGACTGTTTTTGTACATGATGTACATGTAACCATGACGAATTTGCTGTGATTCTTTTTGAAAACATCTCCTGGAAGCTGCTGTTGTTACACTCTGTGTAACATTACTTCATTTAAGTTTTAAGTGTATGTTTTTGTGTGAATTAAGCCTGAAGTCTTAAAAAGGGTACATACAACTTGCATGGGTAATTATTGTGACTGTCTGTACAATTATGCATCTGTGTGGAGACAACAGTTAATTAAATATTTCTGTACTCAGGTGTAAAGTACTAAAAATGTTTATGTAGTTTCAGGAAGTGAATATATTGCTTATTTTCTTAACCTGTTTAGTACTGTTTTCCTTGGTAAAACTGAGGCAATGTTGCTTACGAGCTGTGTTACATGTTGGTTTGGATGCTGAAAGAAGAGAGGGTTCTGAAGGTCAAGCTTAGTGTTTCTTGTAGGCAGTCTGTTATTTTGTCAGATGCAGAGACTTCTACCTAGATTTACCCCATGGTGGTACACCACCCACAGAAGGAATTCACCTAAATTTAAGTGTCTGCAATGCAGATCCCTGTTGTGTGGTGCCCATAGTAGCTGATGGAGGTGGGAGAATGATTTATGTGGCAGGTATTTCAGAGGAGGGGAATGTTGTCCCAACCTCCACTGATGGCCCTGGCAGAGGACCCGAGGAGTGCCTCTCCGGACAGCTTAGCTCTTCACAGTGAGTGCCATCGCCGTTCCTTACTAATGCACAGCACACAGCAGGATTGTATCAGCCAGCCTGATGGCGCTCCATGAGGGATGTCGTCCCTGGGAGGCTCTTCCCTGTGACGTCCACCTTTGCTTAGACCTTTCTCTGCCTGCTCCATGTTCCTAATCCTCATGAGGTGGATTAGGAACTGGCTGGATGGCAGGGCCCAGAGAGTGGTGATCAGCGGTGCAGAGTCTAGTTGGAGGCCTGTAGCTAGCGGGGTCCCCCAGGGGTCAGTCCTTGGTCCAGTCCTGTTCAATTTATTCATCAATGACCTGGATGAAGGCACAGAGTGCTCCCTCAGCAAGTTTGCTGATGACACGAAACTGGGAGGAGTAGCTGATACCCCAGAGGGCTGCGCTGCCATCCAGAGGGACCTGGACAGACTGGACAACTGGGCAGTGAAAAACCTCATGAAATTCAACAAGGCCAAGTGCAAGGTCCTGCACCTGGAGAGGAATAACCCCAGACACCAGTACAGGCTGGGGACCGACCTTGTGGAGAGCAGCTCTGCAGAGAAAGACCTGCGTGTCATGGTGGATGATAAGTTGACCATGAGGCAGCAGTGGGCCCTCGTGGCCAAGAAGGCCAATGGAATCCTGGGCTGCATTAAGAAGAGCATCTCTAGCAGGTCGAGGGAGGTGATCCTGCCCCTCTACTCAGCCCTGGTGAGGCCACATCTGGAGTACTGTGTCCAGTTCTGGGCGCCACAGGACAAGAGGGATGTGGAGCTGCTGGAGAGAGTCCAGCGCAGGGCTACAAGGATGATCAGGGGCCTGGAACATCTGCCCTATGAGGAGAGGCTGAGGGAGCTGGGCCTGTTCAGCCTGGAGAAGAGAAGGCTCAGAGGGGATCTAATCAGTGTCTACAAGTACCTCAAGGGAGGCA